CCTCTCCCTACACCTCATCTGTGGGCAAGTACTTTGTCTTAGGCCGTGGGTGTTTGTTCGTGTGTCCCACCTCAAGCTGGGCAGGGCCGGGACCAGCTCTGCCCCGCGATTTGCAAAGAGAGGGCACCTTAGCTGGGCAGCTCTATGAGCATTTTATCGTAATGACCGCACAGAAGGCGCAGGGAGCAGACAACCTTTCCTTCCGCTCCCACGTGTCCCTCTCCCCGCGCAAGCCCACAGCTCCTCCTGGGAGCCGAGCGGTGACCCAGCAGCGCCTGGGACTTTCTGCCGCTGTGGGCTACAGAGCCGTTCTCCCTTCGCTTCGGGCACTCTGAAGGCTTCCTTCCTCTGGCTGCCGCTTCCAGGCTGGGTCCGCGGCGGCCTGCGGCCCCACCCGGAGCGTCTCGGCCAGCGCGCCGCGTCCCCTGCCGGCCTGGAGCCTCGCCCAGCGCTGTTCCTGCAGCTACCGCCACTGTGGGCTTGGGCTCGCCGCCCCCGTCCCTCCACCGCCCTGCCCCAAGTGCCAGCGGCCTTTCGGCCTGCGGCCCGCTCCGGCCTGGCTTTCCCTGCGGGCCAGCTTCCCGCCGAAGCCTCCTTTGCACGGGCGCGGCCACGCCCCGTCAGACCCGCAGGGCCCAGCCCTGCCCAGAAACCGCCCGTGCGGCTGACAGCTCCGCCGGAGACAGGGGCTCGCTTGCGCTCAGCGGCCAGACTCGTGCACACCCCTGCGCGCCTGGCTGCGCTTCTCCCCTTCCTCCCCCCGCGTGGCGTGGCAGGGGCCTTCCTGGACCGCAAGCTCGGCTGGGCCGGGGCTGTGGGTGCCGGGGATTGGACTGAGCCCAAGGCGTGGTGCAGCCAGACCATGGGGTCCAGTTTACTTCTTACCTCCCTGGCTCGAGGGCTGTTCAGCCCCGCTGGGGGGCGCAAGGCGCGGCAGTGCTTAGAAAGTCCGGCCGGTGCCCTGCGGCCTGGCCCCGAACCACACGGCGCGTAGAGAGACCTGAGCTGTGTAGGCAGGGAGTAGCCACGGTAAGTCGGTTTCTGTCCCAGTGTGACCCCCGCAGCAATGCTGTAACAAGCGTTTGACAATAGCTAATGTCTCAGAGGCATTCCCCGAGTCAAGCTTCTTACAAAGGGAGTGGCATCCCCGGAGTTTTCCGATTGGCACCAGAGAGCCGCTGCAGGAATAGCGAGTGCACATCCTAGCAGATGGCAGCGAGCAGTAATGTGGAGTGGCCTTACCATATACAACTGCGTGCGGAGAACGGCTGACGTTTAACCTCCAGGCCGCTGTAGGTGCCTCAGGGTGTCCTACTGCAGGCATTTGGCTGACAACGTGGGAAGGATGTGGCAGTGTACGGATTAAGGATTGGAGTCAGTAAAAATGCTACGGAACCCCCACAAGGCTACACAATGGATTGGTTTGGCGGTTTTTTTTAATTGTAGCCCTAAATGTCAACCTTTTGCTGCCGATTCGTGTAGTGACTGTAATGTACACTCAAGTATACATAGTGTGTCCTTTTCTAGCCGGTTGTGTTGGAAACTCACTATTCTCATGATTTTCTAAAAAGGCTCAATGACCTAAGTGCCTATTGACTGGAATCCATAGTGCATATCACAAAGTAGTGTTAATGGATTGCCAAGGTGACTGGGAGACTAGGGGAACTGGGTTCTAGTTCTGGTTGTGCCACTGGTTCGCTAAAGGCCTTTGTCCGAATTCTGTCGTCCTTACTCAGGGTGAATGGTACTTGCCCTAGCCTGCAGGCAGTCACGATGAAGTCCCTATTTGTGCAGTCAGGTATTACTTACCTTGAGTTACTAGGGAAGCAGGATGCTTTAAGACATTATTTTTCAAATATGCCCTTTGATTTGGAGTCTCCCTATAGCCCTCTGGAGCCAGCTATTCAGAGGTTCTGAGTACCGGCAACTTTCATTTAAGACAAGTGGAGTTGGGAGAAGTAAGGGCAGTTCGACCTCTGTGCATGTAAAGTAGTTCCTCTGCTGCAAAACTGGAGATGGTGACACTTTTGCAAAGTATTTTGAGATCAGCAGATTAAATGCTCTGTGCTATGTATTATTATTTTTTATTATTATTATTATTATTATTATTATTATTTATGCTTTGTTTTTATCCTGTTATGAAATGTTACAGAGAACACATTTTGTCCATGGACAGTAGCAATTTATAAAAGTTAAAAGCAATCAAACTATTGATTGTGTATGTTCTAAATAGCAGGCACAGTTAATTTACTTTAAAAACGGCAACGTTGTATTTTTCAAGATGAATCTGTTTCTACTCTGAGAACTGGGCAGAAAGCATCCCTGTCTGTTCTTTTCGTGTGTGCGGTCTGTGTATTTGTGCTCAAATACAGAAAGCACTGTTTGAAATGAAATAGTTTTTTAAAAAGCAGGGTTGAAAACTTATATTCCACATTTCATTTTAATAAAAACATCTTATAAATCAGCATCTCTCGTGGATACCTTTTTTGACAGAAGTTATTACATGCAGAGAAATCATGACCTGCTAGACTATCCGTTGTTTTTTAAGTTTTTCCAGTTACCGACTAACACGGCTACCCCTCTGAAGCTTTCTCCAAAGCAGTACAGGGTCTCTTCCAAGCCTCTTTTCTCTAAGGACAAATGCGAAGTCTTGACATAGTGCCAGCATCAGGAAACTGATGTCTAACTGTGAGTGACTGTTCAGATTAATGAGTAGATCAGTTCATGAGTGCTTGCCAATGACAGCATAATCTTTTTCGGTAGCATATATATTTGATTTTTAGCTGATTCGCTGTGCTGGGTGAGACTGACTTTTTCTTAGTCGGGATCAACTTGTCCATTTGGGGGCACTCGAATGGTAAATAAATAAGCTACAGTAACTAATATAATACAATCTGCGAGGCTAATAGGTCGTGGTCAGTAATTCCCTGTGCCATTGGTTCTTTCTCCAGTAAAAGAAAGACGTAATTAATATATTATCATTGAAAGTATGAACTAAAAATACATTGTGTGTTTCCCAGTGTCTAGGAGAATTCCAAGCCACATCATAATTTGGTTTCCCGGGGCGAAGTTGAAATTGCACCTGATAGTTGGATTCTGTAGTCTTTTCTCAGCCAAAAACTCGCACATACTTTAGTTGAAAACCCATTTGACTCCCACTGTTCAGTTTGAAGTGAACGTGAATTTTTGCGTGAGTAAGGTCTACAGGATTGAGCCATCAGAGTAGCTAGCAAGTCGATACTTGTCCGTTTCAGAAGCAAGTGGCACTCCTGTGCATTTTCACTGTACCTGACAGATGTTAATGATTTGTTTTTCATAACTGCTCTCTTCTACAGCCTCGCATATCTTTCTCCTGTCGGGCAGTGTTTAATTGGTTGCACTTTCAATCGCTGGGACCACAGACACCCCTCTCTTCACCCTGTCCCGGTTCCCTACTGCCCTCCCCTTGGATCCCTGTCTTCCTGCAGTAGCACTGAGCTGCGAGGCGCAGGAGGAGGAAACGAACTCCAGCTTTCTTGGCGAGGGGCGGGGCGGGGCCAGCTCTGTCTCGGTGCATTGTTCTGTGCTCCAGTGCCAAGATGCGGGGCCGCGGGGGGGAGTGAGCGGTGGCCCCTCTCCGAAAGTTTGCGCGCTCTCTCCCTCGCTTCGCTTTGGCAATGGGAGGCAGATCGCTGCCTGGCCCTGGCCCTGGCCCTGGAGTCCCCGCTCCTGCTTAATATTCTGCCTGCTCCGGCGATGTTGTGCTTGGCTCCTGGGGGACTGCAACTCCCGGCTTGAAACGGCAGCCAATTTTCTGTCTTACTCTCCCACTGTTTTGACTGGAGGCAGATCCAGTTCCGTCCGATCGGGGCTAGTGGAAACAACTGCCTGAGCCTCTCGGTGTGTGTCGCTGGGGCTCCGGGAGAAAGCCGCCCCCCGGCCCCGCGCGATGTGGCTGCCGCGGCCGGGCTCCTAGGAACAAGCCCGGGAAGCGACTGAGCGGATTTGACCCCGACGCGCTGCGAGCATCGCTCGGCTCGGGTCTGCCTGGCGGTTCTTCACGAGAAGAGATCGGTGCGTGGCTGGGGGGCCCTGCTGCGAGTGAGCTGGTCACTCAGCGGAGCGCGGGGCGTCCCCGCGGAGAGCACCAGGCACCTGGGTGCAGGCAGGCGGGGCGGGTACGGGGAACGACAAAGCCCGGGATCCAGCCAGGGAGAGCGGGAGCCAGAGGCGCGCTGAGCCGGCCGGGCAGGGGCGCTGGGGCCCGGCGCGAGAGACGCTGGGAAGCGGAGGAGGCAGCCGCCGGGCTCTGGTCCCACGGGCCTCTGACCCGCTGCGCCTTCTGCTTGCAGGGAGAGGGCAGCGATGACTCTGGTGCTGTCCATGCAGCGGTTCTGCGGGCCCGAGCTCGCGGAGTACCACACCCCGTGGGAGTCGCACTGTGGCAGCCAGGCCAGCCCCGCGGAGCCCAGCCGGGCCGCGCCGCAGGGGAACAGGACGCCAGGTAGGCACGGCAGCTGGGCTGGTGGCCGGGGGGAGGGAGGGGGCATTCCCCGACGCGCACGGTGAGCCGGGCAACATGAACGGCAGTATCGCGCCTCTGGGTGTATCCAAGGCACCAGAGCCTGGGGCCGCTCGAACATGCAGCTACTTTCATTCATCCAAGGGGGGAGGGAGTGCGTGTGTGTGTGTGTGTGTGTGTGTGTGTGTGTGTGTACAGATGGCAGTAATTTCAATTTCACCATCTATGGAAGCATAGGGATAGGTTGGAGACTGTGGCCCGGGGGAAAATGATTAAAGGTAATGTTTGAAGTGAAAATTCACACGGAGCATAGGTTTAGAGCAGTGGTTCTTAACCTTACTGCAGCCTGCAACCCTGTGGTTCTCAAAATATGTTCTCGCACCCCTTCTTAAAAATCGTTGAAGTAGGTCAGTTCTTTAAACCTAAGATATATCATAAAAATCTGGTATGTCTCACACCTCCAGAAAGGGCATCTCACACCCCCAGGGGGTGCATGCACCCCCAGTTAAGAACCACTGGTTTAGAGAAAAGGCTCTGTACATCTGATTCATGCTTGGACTCTCTAGAATTAAAAAAGACTTGCTTAGATAGTCACACCATATTATCCTACAGTCACTCTCCAAAGGGGTAAAAGTCACAACATTTTGGCTAGCTGTCATTTCTTTTCTACTGACTTTAAGGAATCCTGCTCATATTTGGTTATAATAACAAGAGATTTGTCATAAACACAATATATGTCTTGGGCTTTCTAGAGTCTTTCTTTAATGTGGAGTGGGAGGAGAAAGGAGTCCAAACATGGCCATCTTTCTTTACATAGTTGCAAAGATAAAATATTACAAAATTGTATTGTAACTATTCTGGGTGCCAATTAATAAAAATATTGAATAATGATGGTTCTATAAAATGTATTTGTCCAAAGACATGTTATCTTTTCTTGTCATGAAAGGTAGTAACAAACTCTTACCTTTGGTGGAGTATATCTGATCTTTGCTTTCGTCAATTATATGTTTCCATGTACATTTCTGGTTTTACACTAAGACACAAAATGACCAACTTTTGAAACATTATTTTAAACTACTAAATCTTATTCCAGATATACGGAATATATTTAGCAATTGTAAAATAAAATTTCACCTGTAATTCATGGTCCCTGGAATTTGAACAGGATGCGCTGGTGAATGCCGCTACTTGTTGGACCTGTAAACTCGGGATGAAAATTTTATTAAAGAAAAATATACAGAGAATGTCTAAGTATGCCAGACACACAAATGTCTTACAGTGTCTATCACAAAGAGCTTTAATTGCTCGTGCTAGCCTATTGCATCACAAGCTATTTATTCGTACGGTAAAAAGTTTATTTTGATCACTGCAAATATATATAAACAGATGTGGTAGACTTATCTTGTAGTGAGAAGGGAAATTAAAAGTATTTTGTTTGGAGAACCTCAGGCAAACCACATGTCATTTGTCATATCTGATTTATTACCCACAGGATCACATTACAGGGGAATTTCAAATCCTATAACAACATCCAAGATCACATACTTTAAAAGGAAATATGTGGAAGAAGAGGATATTCATCCATCATTCAGCAGCTGTACGCATAAAGTATGTTTTTAATAGATGGTTTTTTTTACTGGGCATTTCAGATATTTAGTAACACTTGCTTGACTCATTTCCAGAAGTTGAAATACTCCACCCAGATGATGAGAATAGCCCAGCTGTTTGCATGGAAACAAATAGTTCACACTTTATTTTATTTTATTTTATTATTGTCATCACATAGTTTAAGAAACAAAGCGGTTTGTTCAACCATAATAACAGTTAATAGAAACACTCTGAATATCTTACTTGTCACACATTTTATTCATAAACACTTACACTGTGTTTACAGAGGTTATTCTGGAGAATACACACCAAAAATGCATAATGTAAATTTAACAAGAGTAAGCTCCAGGCTCTCCCTTTTTTTTTCAGTACTCTTTTTCTAGGATTGCTAAGCTCAATGTTCTCCACTGGGTATCTGAAGCCTACATAGAAACAGAAATATCTGAAAGGGGAATACAGTCTACCCCAAAATTTAATCTTACTTGTTTTAAAAAAAGCCTTCTAATAACTCAAAACAAGAAATTCAAACCCAGACAACACATTTGTTTCCAAAAGGGGCCTGGGTGAAGTTCTACTTTGCATTTGACACGTGAGCATATACATTGATGTTCAACAGTTCATGGGAGATGTTCAGAAAACTCTCTAGGCTCCTGCTCAGTAAGTGCTCGATCCTGAAAGGTACTGAACTCCCTGCCCTGCCCCTTACTGATTTCTCTGGCTGTGCTACGTTGTACATTTAGTATCTGAATTACAGCTAACAAGTCCCTCAATATAGTATTTTATTGCAAATATCTGTTTCAGTGACTGCTAGTGAAAGCTGACAATCCCAGAGATTGAAGCCCTCTCTCTATCTCTAGAATAGTTAAAGCAAGGCCAGAAACCATGCAAACTTCCCACAGAGCCTTGTAGCACATCTCAACCTTTCCCCAGAGAGGCAAGCCTTAGGAGTGATAAGATAGTAGTTTCCCATTCATACCACAGACTACTTGCTACTGAGGAAGGATCCCAGTTATGGTAGTGATTTCTGTGGACAGCTTCACACTTGGAAATGCAGAGCAACTATAAGATCCTTTCTGAAAGACCCAGAACAGGCTACCAATTTTCAATTGATAGCACTGGCTGGAATGAAACTATTTTACTGGATGTGAAAGGCTATGTCCCATTCTGAGTTCAGTCTACTCAATATCATCTACACAATACACTGGCTGTACAGACAATGTGCTTTAGTATAATATAATTTAAAATAGTGGTATTTTAAACCAGTTCTTTTGTCCTGTACAGGGCGTTTTTCATTTCCATGTCTCATTTGCCTCTAACAATGAATTGTGTTTTTTTGTCAGAAAGAGGCAAAGAACTATGGTTTGGGAAGGAGCTAGTGTAAAGACTAGATACATAGTAGGCATGGAGAGCTCCGATGGGTCTATTTTATGGTACCATTCTGTTGCTATCAATGAAATGTATCATGCTGAAATTATTCATATTCCTTCAAGTGCAAAAAAAGTTTTCCAGTTTTCAGTAGCGTTAGGGCAGGAGGGGAGATGGAGAGATGATTTTTCTCAGATTTAATGGAAGAGTTCACACACTTCTCTTTCCTGTGCTCGTGGTATAACGAAAGACATATATCCCTCCGCCCCCTTTCCTGGCACAGACTGCTCTTCCTTTTGTTTTGTCACAGTGGGTGTGATTCGTTGGGTCACTGTTGCTGCCCAATTCTGGAGTCAGTCTCCAGAACTGACAGCAGAGCACACACAGGGGAAGGTCTCTGGAACTTGCCATTACTGGTCCTCCAGGGCACAAATCTGGGGGTGTTCAGATTAAAGCACCAGGCTTAATTGTTCAGTTAAGTCTTTAGACAGTCAGCAGAAGAGTATGAGGGGCTCAAATTAACCTATGCGAATAATTGGAACTAGATTGTAGAAAATTAGTGCACCAGAGAGCCAAGTTTTGGCTGTGAACTCATAATACAGCTAATAGTTGTTGTTAGAATGAATGTATTCTCTTAGCCACAGCCTCTGGGCTGAGAGGAGCGGATGAGTAGAGGAAAGCAACTGTGTAGAGAGTGCCCCAGTCCTCCTAGCTACCACTCTCTCCTCTGCACAAAGTATGTGGCCAAATAGGAAAAGGGGGAATGAGCAAAGCACAGCTGGGGGAATTTGAGCAGCCTGTGTGATGTGCTTTTCCACTCCTACTCAGATTAAACTCTGTGCTAAAAATGGAAATGAGTTAATACTATTGGCAGTAACATTCACTACCCCTCCCCACTTCGGTTCCCATGGTAGAGGTCACAGAGCAGACCCAGGACCTCCTGGGAGTAGTAACCTGACCATACTGCCAATGCTGAGAAGGAATTTCTGGCAGGAGCCTGAAGGGAGAGCAAATCTGTGAGCTGGTGGCCAGGGTTTTCATAAATCCCCAGCCTCTTCTAGTTTCCTGACCTTGTTCCTGCCCAGTCACATTCCCACTAGACCCAGGGATTGTTGGGTGTAGTACTCAGCCCAACAGCTGCACTCCAGATGCTGTAGTGCTAGTTGATTGTTTTTACCACGCTACTAACATTCTTCTACACACTAGTTCTATAAAAGCGTTTTGACTAATAGACTCTTCATTGTGGAGGCCTGTTTCATCGACAGTTCTGACATTCATTCCATCTGCATCATTGGTACTAGCTGGCTTTCTAGACTTGGAAGGCTTTTGGTACAAAGGACATCCAGGAGTAAGCCCTCTTTCAGTCCAGTGGCTTTGGTGACCCTTAACAATGGATAGGGCCGGATCCCTGCTCCATTCTCGCACAAAAACACATCAGCTAAAATTTCAGGGACATTACATGATAGCTTTATAGTTTACACAGGATGTAACTAAAGAGTCGGTTTTTCACATATATTTGGTCCCTCTAAAACCGACTTTGGGCATGCAGATAGTGTTTGCCTACACATATCAAATACTGAGCTATTTGTCTCCCTGGTATGATGAGTGCACTGCGCATCTGACGTTCTGGCCAGAAACAATAGGGTCCCTAAATGCATGGGTGCACATATTCAGAGGCCAAGCTAAGATCCCCATGGAAATTTGGCCCACCCAAAATATTACCTTGATTTACATACTGCCAGTGCAGTGCTTAAATTTTCTTCTTATTGCATAAAGCAAAACACTCATCCCCCTTTTTGCATCTTTCTGTCTCTTTCATTTTCAGACAGTTTCTGTTTTTGAGGAGCGAGCACACATTCTTTACATGTCTTTGGAAAAACTGAAATTTATCGATGACCCTGAAGTCTATCTACGGAGATCAGTCCTCATCAACAATTTAATGAAGAGAATCCATGGAGAAATTATCATGCAAAATAACTGGTGCTTCTCTGCTTACTCCTTTGGTGGTCCATCCTCGCAAGAGTGGTTTATGCCTCAAGACTGTCCTTATCGAAAACGTCTTCGGATGGCAAAGGAAGAGTGTGAAAAGTTCCATACTTGCTGCGTTTATCAAGAATGCGGCAGTCACTATTTAAATTTACCCTTCTCTGTTAATACTAATGGGGAGAATGCTTCTTCCTCTTCTTCCTACTCCTCCTCTTCCTCCTCCTGCCCTATATCTTTGCCAAGTTGTTCCCACCAGGTGGATTATAGCATCACCAGTGCCCCTGTTTACAGGCATGATGACCAGATTCTTGCTAATGAAATATTCATTACTAATGCCAAGTCTCATGGTAATCAGGAAAAGGCAAAATTAAATGAGAAAGGAGGTAATGAAACTGAACCAGATGGTGTCACTCTAAACTGTGAACCTAGGAAAGGAAACCTTGCTCTTGAATGTAACGGCAAATTTTATAACTATTTTGAGACTGGATGTAATGACAAGAGCAACATAAATGAATCTTGGAAAAAGTCCTTAAGGAAAAAGGAATCTTTACCAAATAATAAAATGTATTGCAGCAAAGGAAGTCAAATATGAGCCATCTTTTTTGCTGTAACTTGGAAGCATGCACAGAATGTTATCTATCAACATTTTATTTTGGATGGATTTTTTTATAGTTTTGTACAACTGACACAATCATGCCACAAACCTTGCATATAGTTTTAAATGACCAGAGAGCAGATTGCATAAAGCATCTGAACAGTCTGCATCAGTGAACTATTTATTAATATGGAGACTTCATAAAGAGCACAGTTGAATTACTGCATACAACTGTAGTTTAATTTTTGTTACTGAAAATACCAGTACACCAGATGGAGAAACATACCCTTTTATGTGTGCCCTCCCCCATGGAGTCTGCCATTAATTAGAAGGAACTTCCATTATGTTTACCAATTAATTAGATGTCTGGTAAACAAATTGATATTACCAGCAAGGGTGCTCTTCTTCTTGTAACACAATATTTGTTATCACAAAAGATTGTGATACAGTGGACTGGGATTAAACAGCTGTCCCAATGACACCATTAAATTCACACATTTAAAAGTCTTGTACACCTGACAAAGATAGGATGTAAGGAAATCTCTGTTTTATGGGATCTTAGCCAGAAATACCACACACAGCTCAATCATTTGCACATTTTCAGCTCAACTGTAATAATTAATGAGGCTTATGGTGGTTTGTTATTATCTAGGGCAGGTTTTTTGGTGCCTTACTTTTTACCTTAATTTTTGCCAGCGTGAAAATTGAGTGTAACATCTGAGCTACAGCAGGGATTTAATCTAAACAGGGAAAAAGCCCAAGATGGATCAATATTATTAGAAACCTATAACCTTCAAAATGCTGAATTCAACTTCTTATTCAAACAGCTCTATTCTTCCTTTTTGATGCTTGATTGCTTTTTGATTTGCTATCCTTAGGAAGGGATTTAAGAAACAATAGAGAGATGTGGCTTGTATACAAGCACTAGATGCTTGAGCATTTCTATGGCAACTGTCTGTTGCTGAGGATCTTTTTTTAAATTCTTCCATATAATGAAGTTCATGAACCAATGGCATGCTTTATACTTTATTCTGTTTAGCATAATTTCTCTCTTTTAGATTGCAAAAGCACGTGAGGGTTTTATATGACTTTTGCTGTTGATTTAAAACAAAACAAAAAGCACAATGTTAATAAATGATGTGGCGATCAAATTTTATTTGAAATAAATGTGTTTTAATTTTTAAAAGGATTATTCTGGAGAATCAGGATTTGAAGTTTTAATGATTAAAGGCAAAATTTGGTCACATGTAGGTATATCATTTTAAAATGCACATTTTTAAAAGCATATATATTGCATTTTTCAAGGGTTGATTGAGAATATGTTGAGTCCTGAATCCATCTCATTTTTGGTTTCCACACCCACCTGACCAACTGGCCAGATGTGCTGTGCATACCAGCCAAATCAAAATCTGAGATGCCACCTTTTTGTATCCTGTCTCTGCCTGGGACACTGTGAATCCAAACAACAGCTCTTTCTTATTAGCTTTTGCCTTAGGAACCATTAGCTGTGCTTATGCTGTACATTGTTCACAAAGGCCTAGTCTACACTAGACCAGGCAGGTTGGTTTAAGGTAAACCGAATCCAGTTTGGATTCGGTTTACCTTAATCTGAGCCGCCGCAGCGTCTACACTGCAGGAGGCCGATGGGAGCACATGGTCCCATCGGTTTCCCTTACTGCTCACAGAATGAGGAGTACAGGATGTCAGCAGGGAATGCCCTCAAGCATTTGGTTTGGGGGGGTCTACACTAGACCAGCTAAATTGAATGCTAGAAGAGCGACCTCCAGAGGGTCAATATATTCTGTAGTATGGACAGGTCCTAAGACTGAAATTCACCCCTGTGAATGGAAGCAGCCTGGTTCCAAATTGGGTGTAAGTGGGACTTATGGGGGTTTGCAAACCTCCATGCTAGTCTTTTGCATAGGAGTAAATTTCATTCTAAGTATATAGTTTGGCACTCATTCAAGTCACTGGCAAATCCATGGAGTTTAATAATACACAATCAAGTTCTGATTCATTACTGCATTTGGTCCCTCTTAGAATGTAGCCCATGGATTTCAAAGAGCCTTTCTAAAACCTGCCCTGCCATTATTTTTCTTTATGGCAGATAATATGTATACTCCATACTTAAGATTACAAATTAGTCATCTTTCAGCAGCCTCTCCACTGGTTATACTTGGAAGCTCCCTAACTGTCTTAACTACATAGTTTAATACAGTTACTCCAATATTTGCAACATTTCCTAAAGGAATGATATTGAATAACTGAGATAACCTTTATTTAGTGACCTAAAACAAAGCTGATATGTTTGTAAGGATTATCGCTGTAACAGGAATCACACAAGAAACAGAAAATATGGATTACACCAGATTTCTCCAAGAGAGAAGCTTTTTATTATTAATAATTATATTAAATATAGATCTCATTCATACAGTGTATGAGTAGGATCATCATTTGGACATCTGTCCACACGGACCAATTATTTAAAAGCTGTTTTTCTTGTATTATACCTAGTTAGTTTAGTAATATCTGCTTTTTCAGTACTTGATAAACATTTGATGTTTTAAGCATAGCTATTAGTCCCTTGAATATTAATGTGTTGCTGTAGTAAAGTGAAGTTTCATTGGTATATGTTTATTAAAATGACCAAAATTCATTTTGATTTTACATCTTTAATGGCTGTTGAATTCTTCCTCTCAGCCTGCCCAAAAGAAATATCATTTAATTAAATTGTTCCAATGATGAAAAGATTTAAATTACAATCAGTTGTTTTACCACAGATGCAGACCAATACAGAGCTGTCAATTTTTAGAATACTGTGGAACAGAATTTTAAAATATGCTGACAAATGTAAAAGATGTGTTTGCAGCATCTGGGATTGTAATAGGTATATGTAATGGACAGAATTGGCCCAAACTTTGCAAGGGCTAGTCTTGCAGAGTGATGAACATTTGTGAGGTGCTGATTGTCAGCTAGTCCCATTGTGTTCAGCACTCTATCCAGTTAAGGCCCATTTGAGAAAACTGCATCCAATGCATGAAGCCATAATTCCATGGTATTAGTTTATGGGGCTTGTTTACATTCTCCTGAAATGTTGAATTATCTGAAACAATTCTATAATTATCTCTGTACATGTAATGTATTTCTCAGCCACTTACCATGTTGGTATGTCTAAATGTTGGACAAAATTAAGACATTTCAGAATTTATACAAAGATGGTGTTATTTTATCTATTCTCTGAGAACAGCAATGTGAATTTAAGTGATCCTTTATGTTTTTCCCTGCCCCCTTTTTACAAAATATAGCACATATTGAGAGTAAATCTGTAAAACTCAACAATGTACTAAATATTACTATTTGTTTTTCAGAGGGGAAAACTATTATTATGTTAAAAAGAAAAAGAGAAGGAGGTCTGGACAAGCTGGGTAAACTGTCAAAAATATAATAGCTATTACTATAAGTTTCAACCTAAACAATCATAGTGTATTTTGAAGTTACATTTTTGTCTTGGTCTACTTTAACTTATACTAAGGAATACACCAGATAGGGTCTTTTCCCTATGACTGTTCAGTACCAAAGTCACTTTTGTTCGTAGCACAAGTTTCCAACAATTGGTTCTTTTCCAAGATCATATTAATTCCCTTCTTTTTTATATCTTTATGTGGAGCTTAATGCATCTTCCCCAACTTGATACCAATTTATCTGCTCGAGAGAACTGCTCAGAACTTCTTATCTATCCAATAATTGTTTTTTTCTGCACCATAAGATACTTTACTCATGACATGTAGAAATATAAAGCATTGAGATTTTCATCAGGCAATTTTATACTGATACTTCAAATCTTAGAATACAACAAAAAGTAGAAACAGAACAAGGTGTTTCTTTTGCTATGCCTGTTTTACTGTGGGTAGGAATAAAAGTGCTGTTTTACCTCTAGGATCATTTCCCAGTAGATCATACATTTCCCATTGAAATGGAGAGTATATTTCAGTTGAAAAAAGTACTGCACTTCATTTCTGGAACATACACAGTACCACTATTGTGCTTAGTGCATATTTATTATAGTTTAAAAGAGTTTACAGTGTATACTCTTTGGATAACTTTTGGAAACAGCCTGAGCTACAGTTGTTTAGGTATTTGAAGTGCAAGCATTTAAATATGGGCAGAGGACAAGTGTCAATATCACCAGCATAACTGGCACTAATTGACAAGTTGCGGGGCAAAAGCTGAATGGGCCATGAAAGCTGAGCTAGCCTTTCACTGCTTATTACAGGTGATCCCCTCCAAAGCAAAAATTGGAGAGTAATTGCTGTTTTTATATTAGGAAAAAGTGAATAGATTGTGTTATTCACCCCTTCCCAAGAACCAGGGACCACTCATTACATTAGTCATTACAATAGTAGGCAGCAGGTTTAAAACGAAGACAAGGAAGTACTTTTTCACACAACTCATTCTGTGAATTCATTGCCAGCAGATGTCATGATGGCTAAAAGTACAACTGGGTTAAAAAAAGTTAGATACATTCATGGAGGATAGGTCTGTGGATGCTATTAGCCATGATTGTCAAGGATACAATGTCATGCCACAGGTGGCCCTAAACATCTGATTGTCAGAGGCTGGAACTAGATGACAGGGGATGGGCCATTCAACAATTGTCCTGTTCTGTTCATTCCCTCATTCCACATCTGGTGCCAGTCCCTGCTGGAAGACAGGATACTGGGCTAGATGGACTATTGGTCTGACTCGGAATGGCTGTTCTTAGGGTTCATCACTCCAGGGTCATTCTTCTTTCTTTTCTTCTTTTACCAGATTTACCATCTTACCAAATCTCCTTTGGATTTGAAATCTTGAACTTTTAACCAGTGCTGTGCCATTTGCTGCCCTACTAATTGGAAGATCCAATTCCGCACAGCAAATACAAGGAACTCATTAAAAGATACAGGAAGACTTGAGTGTTTAAAAGAAAACTAAAACCAACAGGCCAGATTCACCAATTCATTCTGGCTGCTTTGTGCCAGACTGGCAATACAAAGCAATTGCAAACCAGTTTAACTGTCTGGCTAAATTGGATTTACAGCTAATTTATGTTGCCAGAATGGCACACAGATAGAGTACTGGTAAATCTAACCCAATATTTTAAGCAGACAAACCAGGCTAAATTCTGCATGCCTAAGGAATCTCATTGACTTCCTGAAATAAAGATGAAATCCAATGGTGTAACTAAAACAATTTTTATTTTATAACCATAGAAATATAGGGCTGGAAGGAACGGCATGAGTCGGCTAACACATGCTTCCACTTTGAGGCTGGCTTAGGTATATTTAGACCAATGTCCAGCTATAAAAATTAGGTAATTTTTATTAAAATGATTAATTTATTTAAATGGACAGTTTAAACAGCTATGAAATCACCAATTTTATTTTGTTTTTTAGTAAATTACTATCACAGTTACACTAAGGATCTCAAACGGCTTGTCTACTCATCTCCATGCAATTTATAAGAAGTGAAACAATCCTTATTTTATTAAGATAAAAATCCAGTATACTTAGTTTAGGAATAAAGTTATTTCACAGTGGTGTGAAACAATAGTAATTAATTTCCTAGCAATATAGACACGTCTGCTAGAATACAATTACGAAAGTACTTACAAAGAACCAGGTGGGAGGTTGTAAAGATATGAACCTTTCACAACTGCCAATGAGTCCAATCAAGAGCACTTAGAATATACAGTAATTTCCTGTGTTTTTGAATATCACTTTTCAGTTCAATAACAGATGGAAAAGGATGACTAAACTAAGGGAGTTTACACAACTTCTCCTTGTGATGTTTGCAAACTATCTCTGTGAGGTCCATTTTCTCTAATATAAACATTACTTGGGCATTCTGCCCAGAGCTTCTGCACCAGTGAATCCAGCACAGATTATTTTTGACAATGTGAGCTATGTTGCAAAGGCCATGTAAGGCAGTGTTTTAGCTGGGTGAACTGAGCAAAGATCACTTTTGGGTGCAGAGCGACTCATTGAGGGCTGGAAGGGTCAAACAAAGCTGATGCAGCTGTGGGCCAGGCTGAATTCACCACTGGGGGCTGTGGCTTTCTAAATCAGAGAAACCTGTGGGAAAGGATGGAATGTCTCAGATCAGACGTGTGAACTCAGCTAAGTGA